CCCCCCCCTCTCTCACTCTCTCTCTCTAAGCTAAACCCTTGCAGAAAAAGGTCCCTGGAACAGACAGTAAGAGTCGCAAACATTTAAAGCTGTTTCTTTGACATTAATGTCTGACCACAGAGGTACATTTCATCTCAATCGGAGACTATGGGTAGGCGTCTACAGTAGACTCACACACACAAAGTACAAAGTTGACAAAGCATCACACGCGGAATAATCAGAGCGAGGTAGCGGGACCAAAGATTCGGGGCTGCCAAATTACACGTTCAGCTAAAGGAAGGAAGGATAAGGCTGTGTCTGGCAAAGAAACATGAAATTCCAAATACAACATCCCCACCCGTCACCCACTTCCCGAAAATTGTATAATATAACATTTGGAAAATAACTTAAAAAATTCACAATTAATTTAAAGTTTATAAAATATTCCAGTTTTCTGAACAGAGCCGTATTTGCCAACTAAAATAATACATTATTTATACATGTATGCAACTCTTGTGTTTGTTACATCGCAATAGTTATGATTTGGTTACATTTACTTTTTTCCCTGCAAGAAGTGCAAGGAGTATTTTTAAAACTTGGAACAATTATTTTTATATAAATTGACAAAAAAGGCTATTTTGGCCTAAAAAATACAGGCATTCAGAACTTTTTCCGATTTACAACAGAAGGAAAAACCTTTTCCTAAGGCATCCTGAATTTTTTTATTTTTTTTTTAATAAAAAATAAATTCTGCTCAGTGAGAATTATAATTGTAAATACTTTGGAGAATGTTTTTTTGAGAAAGATAAAATTTCTCTAATAAGATCAAATTTCTTTTCAGTCAAGATGAATCCGCATGTGGAAAAGAGGAAGGTTGGAAGGTGGGGATGGGGGTACAAAATATAGACTTATAAACTTAGACTAAAAAAAAATAAATTTCCATTACCAACCTATAAAAAGAGACAATATTTTTCAAAAACTTGAGTATCCATCATCTCAAAATATTTACGGTCTAGATCTCAAGTTGGGAGTCATTAAGGGATCTATCATGTATGAATTATGGGATCTCTACATGAGACTGAGCAAAAGAGACGTAGAGCTGTGACATATGACATGGGGCTGGGGTACACAGGGGAGGGGAGAGGCTGGGGAGAGGAAGACGGGGGAACAAAGTTTGTCTGTCATCTTGTGTGTAGAATAGAACCATTAGAAAACAATAGTTTGTATTTGAAAAATTAAAAATGAAACACTTTGTCTTTTAGTTAAGTTTTAGTTCACATAAAAGTGAGAAAAAAAAAAGACTAAGTCTCTCTTCTCAATTGACGATGAAGAAAGAAATAGAAAAAGGGAAGAATAATAAAAAATTTTTGTGAAAAACTGTCAAGAGTCCAAGTTATTTAAACCAGTTTCTGAAATCTTTATTGTATCATGTCCGCTAGAATAAGAACCTCCCAGAACTAGTTACAGTTATAAATATAGATCTCGTACGTTCAGATCAATCTGCGAGTAAGGTAGAGAAAACTAAGCCAAATACTACTGACCTCTTTGACGACCAGAACAATACAAAATTGATTGACCAGCTGGTTACCTGTCGATGAAAACGCCAGCGTATCTATTGACCTAAAATTCAATGCTTCTCCAATCAATAGGACATGCTACCTGCACAAATGTCACAAATCAATGTCCAATACTATGTCCAATAACGCGCTGTACCATACATCACAGCCCGGATTCTTCAATGGAGGGAGTATTTTCATTCATTACAAATTGCTTTTTTGCTTTTCAGGGATAAGGAGAGCAGAGCACACTCATTTGTGGAGTTTTAAACACTTGAATTTTACAGACAGGTACTTCATTCTCATAGTCTGGACTTTTTGGAAACACACTATTCTTTATTATTTTTTTTCTACCCCAGAATTCTAAATCTTTTATGTCGATTCATTTTTACAGCAGACTGTTGACCAAATTTCTAATCTACAAACAAAAAAGTCAATGTTGATGAAAAAGAATTCTGCTCAACAAATCTTAGAAAATATTTTCTAAAATATTCACTTACACTTTACCACTGAGCGAGTGGCAAAATGGGAGGAAATTTTTGGATCTGAGCTCGTCGATTTCTTTATTTATCTGGGTTTAAAGCGGATTTTTTTTTTTACAGTTGAAGCAAATAAAATAACGACGCAGTTATAAAGTAGACAAATAGCGACTCTTCTCCACATCGCACTGATTCGTAGTAAGAGATGCCATCGGACCAATGACAGTGATGAATGAACTAACAGAAATAAATCAACAGAAGCTGATACATGTATACGTTAACACTGAAAGGTTACAAAACTGTTTTAGTAAGCCTATTCAAAAAGAAAAAGAAGAGACTAATATAAATATATAATACTCTAACAGTGATAATATATTGGTAAAAAAAAGAGCTCTTTGTTTAAAATTCAAATAAATGATAAGGCTATAAGTTGAGCGCAAAACTGAAGAGGGGCATAAAGAAAATAGTTCAGTTATAATAGAAAACTAAAAGAGTTGAACAAAATCCAGAATTATGTATACAATGAAAGCACAATAAACAACTGAAATATAAAACAGAAATACAACATAATCAGGTGTCAAATGAAGGAAATCTAAAGTGGACTAAAGAAGTCACAATGAACAAAAATAATGCATAAAAATAGACAGGTAGGTACAGTGTTCAACTGAAGGTGTGTAACAGAAAACTCTACACTGATCTCGATACTTACCCAACAAAGCGTTCAGGAATGGTAAAATATTCCTTCAAATTGAAATGAACTACAGGTAGGCTACTACAAAATAAGCGCTAAAAAAATATTTCAATTTTACCTGCCAGGCGAAGTGCGGACATCCTCTGAAACTCTGGTTCCTGTAACCATTTCCACATTCTGCGAAAAGTCTCACGTCCAGATTTAAGTTTGCTCCAGGGTTTGGGGTTTCGCAAGAGATCGCTGAGGGTCCCTTGACTCCTGCATAAGACCCTCTGCGCAAAGACTGCCTGCGGGATGCTGTACCGTTTGAGTTCGCTGCTTATCCTCTGAGCCAATTCCTTTGTGTTGATCTCTTCAATCTCTTGTTGCTGCTGCTTATTCTGAATGTCCAAAGAGGTGCCGGCTCTTTCGCGCTGAGGACTTTCGCTGTGAGGTGAAGGTGTTGGGGCGTTGTGAATTCCGTTCATGGTGACCATCATCGAGTTTGGTGAGTGTAACCGCGTTGTGTTGTGGATCGGAGAGGCTGCGTACGAGTCCACGTAACTGTTTGGCGAGGCCATTTTCGGTTCTGATTTTGGTGACGCTAATCCATTCTGAGCATAGCCGTAAGAACCCAGGCCCTGTTGGTAGTTGAGGTTATTGCCAGACATCATTGTCATGGCTGTGGCACCCAGGGTGGGACCCATATTCATACTCACCCCGGCCATTCCCAGCTTCTCGTGGTACCTGTGGTGACCGTAAGTGGTCATGTCCATGATCCCAGCTCCCAGGCCGTTGTTCTGTGGCATGAGCGTGAAGCTGCCGCTGACGTTAGGGCCCGTGACATGACTGAATTTGTCCGAAACTGTAGAGATGGGAGGAAGTGGCTGCAGAGGGGTCAGTGTAGCATAACTGTTTGGGCTGTAACTAGGGCTCATCCTACCGTTCAGTGTGTGGTAGGTCACATCTCCCATTTGGGAACGGAACTCGCTCGAGTCGATCATACTGCTCACACTGACCGGAATGGCCTCAGAGCGAGTGATGCTCGTTTCGAGTTCGTCCTGAGGATTCACGTAATCCGGTTCTTGTGGTGAGGGTTGGCTCTGACTGGCCGTGCCGTTAGACGAATCACCGTTGATTTGTTGATCAGCCGGGAGCTCGCCCATGTTTTCCATCGTCATTCCTACAATCAAAAACGATCGAACAATAAAGAATGATAAACTGTCAATTCGTGTAACCTTTGGTACAGCTTTGCTGGTTGGTCCTTTCGGCTTAGAAGGCTATTACGTACGCTCGGGAACAGGCAGTCTGTACCCTCGGCAAGCCTCCATGTTTAGACAGCTGTCACCCAACGACCTGCGCACAACGCAGTGCGCATCCTGGGTTGGCTAGTGCGCATGCGTGAATAATTTTCCGCGAAGGCACGAGTTCTCAATGTTGTTGGGGGTCTGCATATGTTTAGCGGTTCTGGGTTCAGTTCGTTGAGATGTTCGAACAATGCACTTCTCAGGCTCTCTCTTATAAGCGCTGTTCTTTCTTCTAAAATAGACTTGTAAAACTTCTCAAGTTACAGACATTACTTTCCCTCAATCTAGGTATTTTCCCTCTCCTATAAGCTCGTTTTTCAGTCGCATTCCCCTCCACACGCTCGGAATAAACAACTGACCCTTGAATCAATGTAAGATCGAACTTTTCTGGCGAATTTGACAAGTTTAACAGGTGGGAAAACAGGCTCAATGATTTTCGATTTCATCAGAGAAATTGTTCAATACTGAGACCGGTTAAAACAGATAGCGTCCCTCTCGCGTGCCCCAGTCCTGCACTCGACCAGCGCGCACGGGGAGCAATAACGGCGCTTTTGGATTAAAATTCTCATTATTTCGCTCTCCTCCTGGTCTTATTTTCTCACCACCACATCGTGGTTATTGTACACTTTAGAGGAATATACCCGAGTTTGTGACACTTGGCTTGTAAGGTAAAGACACATCCGTCGTGAATTGTTCTCAAGTCGGGGACAGCTTCACTAGTGCCGCAACATCGCAATAATTAATTCTTTATCTACACCACTTTCGTTTTCAACGATGTGACCGTTTTCCGTACTGTTCGTATTTTTAAAAACAAATTAAACATTTTTAATGCGTCAAAACTGGAATGAAAAAATAGTTAAATTAAATAAACTGATACAGGCTAAGAGTTGTTTTATAACTTTCGCTGTGTGGTGTTCCTGAATATAACATTTATTTAGAGTCTATAGTTCGGAAGTTATCAAGTTTTTGAGCCTTGTATTTTTTTTATTTTTAAGAAGTAAGGAAAATGCCAGCCTAGGTAGCGTAGTGTGTGAAAGGGGCCGAATAACACACATCAAATTCAAGAAAGTTAATTTCAAGTATCTAGATCCACACATAAATAACCCCCCCCCTCAAAAAACCCCCAACAACAACAGACAAACAAACAACAACAACAATACCCAACAAAACAAAAACAAAAACACGGAAATCTGAAAAAGATTCTGAGCATTTCGTGACTTTATTTACAAACAAATGACTTTAACCTTCACGTGCGGTACTGGCTTATTCATGTAATTTTTAATCTAGCAATGTGAGACGAAAAAATATCTGTTCTTTAACTATTCGATAA